AGAGGTGAATGCACGAGTACGACAGTTGTATCTTCAAATAAGAGCAGAGGGACTACCGGTCGTCCGATGTCATTCGGATAGAGCCACCGAGCTGTGCAACAAAAGGTTACGAGACTGGCTACTTGAGCGCGGGGTCCTTCCTACGACCGGTGAGGCTCAAACGCCTCAGCAAAATGGCAGGGCGGAGGCGAGTGTGAAGTTTGCGAAAACCCACGCCCGTACGTTGCTCACTGCTGCTCGACTACCTGCTGAGTGTTGGCCTTTGGCAATGGGATACGCTGTCCACAAACAACGACATGATGCTTTGGGCAAACCTGGTTGCCTTCCACCTTTTGGTTCTCCGGTGCATGTGAGAACGAAGGTCTATGGTCGGGCTGGCAGATACGATGTCGAGAACAAGTGGCGTCAGGGAGTATATGTTGGGCCTTCAGCAGACGTGCAGCATGGACATTGCGTGAGGTTTCCGGATGGGTCTTTTGTCACCAGCCTGCACATTAAGGAGCAGTTGATTGATGCTGATGGTTTGGTGGACTTAGTGCCGCATGAGGTGGAACTACCGCTTCCGGAAAGAAGGGTGAGGGCGAAAACTCGCCTGGCCATGTTGTCTCGGGAACATCCTTTGACTGAACCTGAAGAAAGGGCTGAAAACAAGGCGAAGAACCTTTGGCGGGAACGAAACTTTGGTATCGATGCCATTCTGTCTCTGTTTGACCTCTTGAAGCAGATCAAGGTGATGAACGCTAGAGGACGGGAGAGAAAACCTGGCATGTCATGGACCACTGGGATGTTCGTTCATGGTGGAGTTGCGGGTCTACGAGGAAATACCAAGCGTATGAAATGGGCCACGAAGTTTCTGGTTGGGCGTATGACTGGGGACCATCACTTTACGGCCTTGGGCTTGCTCGAGAACCAAAGGATGGGCTGCCACAGAGATTCACACAATGACATGGACAGTGAGAACGGTGTGATCTTGTTGAAGAAGCCTGAAGCTGGAGGAGCCCTATGGTTGGAAGATGAAGGCCTACACCATGCTGAAGCTGAGTGGAAGCAAGTGTCCAAGAAGTGTTGGAAGAAAGGGGCCGTTCATGAGCTGGGCGTTGGACAACCTATGTTCTTCAACCCGAGGAAGTGGCATGAAGTGCAACCTTGGGAAGGAGATAGAGTGACAATGGTTCTCTACAATCCGCGGTCCAACAACCTTCACTACAAGGACTTTGACAGCTTGGAGTTTGCCGGGTTCCCAATGTGTGGCCGTATGCCATTACAGCTATCGCAGTTCAAAAATGACATCGTGATCCCCAGTGAGATACAGAATGACCTCGTGATCCCCAGTGAGATACAGAATGACCCCGTGATCCCTAAGTGTGAGTGGGAAGGTGATCTTGGACCGTCCAGAAGTGGCAAGCCGGAGTTGTTCTTGGTGAGACCGTTGGAGACGGAGGACTATGGAACAATGGATGATGCTTTGGTTGCGCTAACAGAAGAACAAGATCACCTACTAGAGGACTTACAGGAACGGTCGCATCGCCTACGGTGGCTTTTGGAAGAAGAGCAAGCTCTACTTGAGGAATGCCGCCGGGCGGGGACACAGGTCACAGATGAAGTTGAGAACGTTACGGCGGCGATTGATGACATGATCCATGATGTTGCGGAGCAGCAGATGCGGAAGCATGCAGAGGTTCAAGCCGGCTTCTTGAAGGCTGCGCAGTGTCAGGTGGAGCCGGACTATGAGAAGATGCTAGAAGAGATGCCTGGTGATCTGGAAGTGGTGCACACTGTACCCTTAGATCAAGTTCGAAGAGCTTTGGACAAATGGTCAGAGGCGTTGAAGAAGGAGGTGGACCAGTTGATGGCTGGGACGCTTCAACCCATTCCGTTATGGAAGGCGAAACAAATGGAGAAGAATGGGGAGCTTCGCTTGGTCCCTTCAAAAGGAGTATTCACACTCAAACCTCCCAGTGTCCGAGGGCAGCGGGCTCGGAGAAAATTTCGCCTTGTTCTATGTGGAAACTTTGTTGCCAAGGATGATCCTGATGGAAGTCTCTATGCCGGGGGTGTCAGCGCTGAAACACTTCGCTTGGCGTTATCCATCGCTTCTGGAAGAAAATGGAGAGGGGCAACGAGTGATGTTACAGCTGCCTTCCTTTTGGCAGAGTGGCCATCAGACATGGCTTCCTATGCGATATATCCCCCGAGGATATTGGTGGATGCTGGTTTGGCAAACCCAGAAGAGCTGTGGTTGGTGCTGAGACCCTTGTACGGTCTGAGAGAATCCCCGTCGATATGGTCAAGGCACAGGACGTCCCGTATGACCAATGCCAGGATTCCTTGGAAGGGCCGAACCATCATCCTCAAGCAGCCCGTTTCAGATCCTGATCTATGGATGGCTTATGACGAGGACAGCCAACTGAGGGCTCAAGGCGGACTTTTGGCGTTGCTGATTACCTATGTGGACGACCTTTTCTACCTGTCCGGGGAGTCCCTCATCACCGCCATTCACCAGTGGGTGGAAAAGGAGTGGCCATGCAGTGCGCTCGAATGGGCTCATGATCCTACTGGTACCCGTTATCTTGGTATGGAGGTTTTCCAGAATGAGAACTTCGCCTTCGAGGTGAGCCAGGAAGGGTATATCAAGGAGCTGTTGCGCGCGTACGGCTTGGAAGACGCGATTGACACCAAGTTACCATGCCCGAAGGAATGGTTGAATGAAAATGAGCCGGGTGATGATGAAAACTTCTCTATTGATGAGCTACGGTCGGCCCAGAAGATTGTGGGTGAACATCTTTGGTTGACTATGCGAAGCAGGCCAGATTTGCAGTACCCGGTGATGTTCATGGCCTCCCGTGTGAGCAAGCAACCGAACAAGGTCAAGCAAGTAGGGCAGAGGCTCCTGTGCTACTTGAAGGCGACCCAAGCGATGAGGTTGGTTATGGGATCGGCCGCAGTAACAAACTCACCCCAGCAAGCAACAGCAGCACAAGCAACCACAGGCAGCAGCGGCAGCGGCACGAATGCACAACAGCCAAACCTTGTGCGCTTAGTGGCTTATTCTGACGCGAGTTTTTCTCCGTTCGGGGAGAAGTCGTTTGGCGCTTGTGTTGTTACGCATTTGGACTCACCGATTTCCTGGAAAGCATCCAAGCAATCCTTCATCACCTTATCGGTTATGGAAGCTGAGTTGTACGAAACATCGAATGCTGTGGTGTTGCTTGAAAGTGTGGGAAGTTTGCTGGATGAGATCCTGCAAGAAAGATCTGGGCGTCTACTGAGAGTGGACAACACGTCAGCGCTCGCTTTGATACAAGGCGGACCGGGTTCTTGGAGAACCAGGCACCTCAAGGTTCGAAGTGCCCGACTTAGAGCGATGGTGGAAAGCAAAGAGTTGGACACCGAGCATGTCGTGGGAGAACGGCAGCTTGCGGATCTGGGAACGAAGATGCATCCGAAGATGAGACTTTGGGAGCTCCTTGTGTTGTGGAGTTTCAAGAACTTACCAGGCGAAGCTAAACAAGCTCTGGGTGCTAAAGGAGTTTACATGTCCATGTTGCTTTTGGCTTTGATGCTTCAACCTGCCCGGGCCGAAGAGGTGACTGAGACAGCAAGACTCAAGTCTGTAGGGTTTGATGAACTGGCGCTCGTTACAGTACTGGTTTGCATCGCGGCGGTGGCATTATGGGAGACAGTTAAGTGGCTGTTTCGTTGTGTGCGAGAGATGATGAAGGAATCTCCAGCGCAGAGACGCTTGAGGAGGTTGAGAGATGCAGCCAAGGCTGCAGCTGAGGAGGAGGTTGATCGGGCCTTTCTGTCGAGAGCTGCTAAGGCTGAGGAGGAGCCGTTGGCGAGTGTGCATCCACCGACCCCTCCGGAGCCTCATCCAGTTCGAAGGGCTCAGTCTACGAAGCGTTTTGTTGATGTGACAGAACCGCCTCCTCCGCCGCCACCGCTACAGGAGTCGCTCTATGACTTGTACCCAGATCGAGGTTTCTACAAGACGGCATCCAACAGGTCGAAGCTTCACACAGATCCTCATTGTCATGGGTTGAGGAATTCTGGGGACGTGTACACGGTTGAGTACTGTGCTTACTGTCAGAGGAACACCCCGCTGTATGCAAGAAGGAGTCGATCCCTACAACCGTCGCGAACGCTCTAGGCGGATGAAGGTGAACCTCTGTGTATACGCGTGGCTATGCATGAACAAGGGGCTGTGGAGCAGCCCTGCACAACGATCCTTGATACTTTTGTTAATGATCGAGTCCGAAGTATCTCGATCAAGGAGGAGTGTTGAATCCTGAAGTGCTGATGTGGCTTGACATACGTTGTGCCGAAGCTACAAGTGGATCTGTAGATCCTATCATGATACAGTATCGTGCACTTGTAAAGTCTTGGACGTCACCGTAAGGCAGTGCATGCGAAGTCATATGCAGGCCACGGTACATGTTTTTGGTGTGCGTAAAAGAAGTTCCGAATTCGAGTGCCATGGTTTCGACTGAACTGTGAAGATCATAAGATGGCAGAGCAATCAACCCGAAGGCCCATCCCTGGAACGCAGCCTGGTCATGAACAACAACATAATAATAATAATCATAATAATAATAATCATAATAATAATAAGAATAAGAATAATAATAATTGCACTAAACGTAATAAAAGCTCCCAAAGCATCCCCGGTCAGGGACTTGAGGTACCGCTGGCACATCTGCAAAGAAACGCCGGATCAAAGACTCTGCTTTGTTTCGTCTGCCCAGTGGCTCTAGGCGCAGTGCGGGTGCACCTGTCATGATATGCTGCAAGTGCGTGATGCACCTTGCAACCAAAATCGCTCCGAAATCGTGCACCGCCATTTGGCGGATGCACTTTCATGATGTGTTGCCAAAGCTTGAACAGCATCACCACCCCTCTGGGACCAGAAGACACAACTTCAGGTACGGCTAGAAACCGGCCAAGAGCCAGCTTCTCCTCAAAATCACTACGCGGAAAATTGCCTGCTACTAAAATGCAGCTCAGAAGGCCGCGAATACAAATGCAGCCAGAGAAAGCACACCCCCCATTCCGCACGCGGCACTCGCCTCCTGCGATTGAACCGTCGTCGTCGTCATAGTTTGGAACACATTCCCCGGGCTGCACATAGGAGGGATGTGGAGGCGGTCGTGCAGAGACTGGCAGTCGTTTTGGCCCTGTGCGCTGTAGAGAGGGCAGTTCTGATGCCCAACTACGTTCTGGGCGCTGAGGTCAGACACACGCCACAGGTACTTCTGCCCGCAGGTGCTGGTGAAGTCCCTGTCCCAGATGGCCTCCATCAGGCCCGCCAGGGTCTGCTGCGGCTCTGACTGCTGGATGTCAAACCAACTCGAACCAACAGTGTTCCCATCCCCGAATGCGTCGCTGACCTGCCCATCAAGGCGGAAGATGTTCGGCGGGTTGCGGGCCAGAGCCGGAACCTGGTCGGCCGTGACGTTGTAGATCGTGCCAAAACCTCGGTATTTCGCGGGGTCATAGTCCGGCCACAAGGAGGACTCGTCGATGATGACATCCGCTTCGGCAAGGACGGCTGTGAAGGCTGCATCACCAGCCGGGATTTCGCAATTCATCATCCTCGCGCCGTCTGTGTTGTCGGTGAAGCTGCACCCCGCCGGGGCCACGGTCGGCAACGGAACCACTTGGGCACCCGCGTCGGTGATGAGCTGGGTCTTGTAGACGGCGTTGGTGACGGCGTTGGAGCCTCCCCGCTGGCCCACGAACATCACCTTCGGCTGCGCCCCGTTGTACTCGGTGCTGGCGTCGGTGCGGAGCTGGTCCCCGATGGCTTTCAGCGCATTGTAGTCCGCCTTGATCTGCTCGAAGATGTGATCAGCCTGCGCTTCCTCGTTGTAGAAGAGGGCCATGAACCTGGGTTCGTGTTAGGAAACTTGACTGAAGTTACCATAATAGGGATACCATATTACTTTACAAAAGATCCTTTTTACGGCAACTTAAGTTACATTCCTCGACAAGAACCCAGGAACTTGATCCATTCGGCACGGCTAAGGCTGCCGGGGTCGAAGGAGATCTCGAAGGGGACGTCCTTGGTGGCGTCGCCGCCAAAACCTGTACCCCAGCTGTCTGTGAATACCAGGTCTGTGCGGCTTGCCCTGGTCTTCCACTCGGGGTTGGCCGACCAATCCGGAAGACTTGTTGTAATGTGGGTTTCCGGATAGCAGACCTCCAACAGCTGCATGCAGGGGGAAGAGATTGAGCGTATGTCAACCATGTCGATCGACTGCGATACCCCAAGCAACTCAATGAAGGCCAGCGGGCCACCCCATCCGACGGTTACGTTCTTCACTGGAATCTCGAAGAAGCGGGCGTTCGACGGCACGCCGGGCATGTCCGTCGTAGGCTTCGTGGTGCCGCACTGGTAGAGAACCATGGGAGGAATCCTCGTGCCCTGCAGCGACGCTTCCGAATGAATAGCATTGTAAAGCGACAGCGTGTCAGAGTACTCGACCACCTTGTACTGGTCGTAGTAGGTCACGTCGTACAAGCTGGCGAAGCTGATCTTGCCCGACCCTGCTAAGTTGCTTGGAAAGGGCTTCCCCCAGGATGGGCAGTCACCTGATGCTGGCTTCAGCGCAAAGGCCAGAAGCAGAGCTGCACGGGCGAACATGGCTGGGCTGAGGAATTTGGAAGCACGGGCCCTCGATGCGAAAAATGTGCTTTCAGTGCGGACCTGGATGCAAGCCTTAGCATAGACGGTGAATTTGGAAGCACCCTAAACCCTAAACCCTCAAACCCTAAGCACGGGCTCTTGCGAAAAGGCTCCAGCCAAGGAACTCTTAGGGTCCAAGTCGCTATGAGCTGGACTTCCAACCCTTAGGCCTCGCAATATAGGGGCCTTGATAATTAGAACAGGGTCTTGGGGCCCTTCGTGCTATAAATATAATAAGGAACCACCCAGAGTAGAATCGTTCAGTCGCAAATTGTTGCATCCCGTCGAAAATGAAGCAATTTAGGGCACAGCCCTCAGATGATGCAGAAATCTTGTGACGTACACTGGCAGCTGAGGCGCAGCATAGGTACAGCTGGGGCCCGCCGCATGTGTGTCCGCCTGGCTAAAGCTTAGAAAACTTTCGCAGCGCCTCCCTCGCAAGCGCAGCAAGCCCTGGTTTCCCTCCAAGTTCGCTTAAACTTCCATCTCATCTGGTAGCTTCCGAAAATAGGGGACCCCAATTATAGTACCCTAAATAGTAGGATCCGTATCATAAGGACCCCAAAAGAAGGTAGCCGTAGTTTTCGGAAACCTTCATCTGGGCTGCACACCCAGAAGCAGTCTGATGGCCCGGCGGCCGTGCCCGCCACAACCTCCAAATGCTTTCGTTTAGGGCTTAGGGTTCTGGAGTTTAGGGCTTAGGGGCTTAGGGGCTTAGAGGTTTAGGAGTTTAGGGTTGAGGGGTTTAGGGTTTAGGGGTCAGATAGACGACGCCTTTTGACAGCTCAGCAAAATTCCGTTTCATGAGCTGAAAATCTAACCCAAAAAAGCCCAAAGCTCCTCCACCCAAATGGGAGTTTCCGAAAATTGGGGGTGCCCTATTGTAAAGGTCCTTATAATAAGGATCCTACTATTTAGGGTACTAGATTAGGGTCCCCCATTTTCGGAAACTCCCAAATCTCCCTGACCCTATTCCCTAGATCCTAGGCTCGTCAATCCTAAACCTTTTGCCCATCTAAAGAAACCCTAGCCCTAGACCCTAAGCCCCAAACCCTCCACCCTGAACCCGAAACTCAAAGCCCCACAGAAGATTGCCTGAAACCCACAATTCCAGGAGCAAGATTCAGCAGCGGAAGCTCGAAAATGAAACTTAATGATTGGAGTAAGCTTTTGGACTGTAGTATACTATAGCTGTAGCACATAGGGACTAGAAGGGTATATTGAAGGAAAGAGATTTTCGGCACCCTCAGGAATCACACAACTAACTATCCACTCTATGCTTGGAGGTTCATGGGTAGTTATATGTGGGGATATAAGTCCCCTAATAGGAGTCATAAATCTAGCTACCGTGCCTATAACCTCACTTATAACTACCCATAAACCTCCAAGTATGCAACCTCAACTTTCTTAGCCTGGTCGCGCAAGGCCAGCACACAGTGGCCCTCGTGGTTGTGGATGCAAGCCTGCATCAAACGGCCAGCGCTGGAATCAGTTAGAGGATCAGGCAACTTAATAAGCATGGGTCAGAGCCTCTAGTTGCAGTTATGGCCAAGTATGACTGCTGTCCCCACTTGGAACTAAGTCCCCTAATCCTTTCCGAGGGATCTTTGTCTTAGCGTCTTTAGGTTGATTGAAGAGCTTTGGCTTCAGGAGTTCAGGTGTTGTAAGCTTTAGGAACCCCTAAACCCCAAAGCCCCAAAGCCTATGTATACTACAACCATACAGCTATTATATAACCATTATATAGCCCATTATAGGGTAAGGGTCCCCATTAAGGGTGTAGATCTCCGGAACAACTTCGGCGCCTGTCTGGGCTGGTACTCAAAACCCATAGCTTCGCACGAATGCAGACCTGAGAGCCTGAGACACCTGGGGTTTAGGGTTGAGGGTTTGTCAGTATGGAAGATTTAGAGGTTTAGGGTTCGGGGATTTACGGCTTAAGGCTTAGTGTTTAGGTGTTTGGGGTTTAAGGGTTTAGGGGTTTTAGGGGTTTAGGGATTTATAAGAGGGGTTTGTAAAGGTTCTATGAGGGATTTCAGACAACACGGCCCGAATTAGCACTGCTCCAATGACATGGAAAGCCGCATGGACAAGGCTTCGCTAATCAGGTCTTCGGACGACCGGGCCGAAACAGCCTCCCTATATAAACCCCAAACAAGAGGTTAAAGGTTACATCTTCAGCTACTAAGAAGCTGTACCCTACAAGTCGGACCTATAGCGATTGCACCAAGTCCCGTAAGCTTGAACTCGAGTTACCTCTCCAAGTGAAAATCTCGCTTCTCCAAAACTCGTGTGTGTTTGTTCTGCGTGATGGCTCTAGGCGCAGTGCGGGTGCACCTGTCATGATATGCTGCAAGTGCGTGATGCACCTTGCAACCAAAATCGCTCCGAAATCGTGCGCCGCCATTTGGCGGATGCTCTTTCATGATGTGTTGCCAAAGCTTGAACAGCATCACCACCCCTCTGGGACCAGAAGACACAACTTCAGGTACGGCTAGAAACCGGCCAAGAGCCAGCTTCTCCTCAAAATCACTACCCGGAAAAATTGCCTGCTACTAAAATGCAGCTCAGAAGGCCGCGAATACAAATGCAGCCAGAGAAAGCACACCCCCCATTCCGCACGCGGCACTCGCCTCCTGCGATTGAACCGTCGTCGTGGTACCGCTGCATGTAGGCGGCGTGTGGAGGCGGTCGTGCAGAGACTGGCAGTCATTTTGGCCTGCACTGTAAAGAGGGCAGTCCTGGTGCCCAACCACGTTCTGGGCGCTGAGGTCAGACACACGCCACAAGTACTTCTGCCCGCAGGTGCTGGCAAAGTCCGTGCTCCAAATCGCCTCCATCAAGCCCGCGAGGAATTGCTGCGGCTCTGACTGCTGGATGTCAAACCAACTCGAACCAACACTACCCCCCTCCCCGAATGCGTCGCTGACCTGCCCATCAAGGCGGAAGATGTTCGGCGGGTTTCGCGCGAGAGCCGGAACCTGGTCGGCAGTGACGTTGTAGATCGTGCCAAAACCTCGGTATTTCGCCGGATCGTAGTCCGGCCACAAGGAGGACTCGTCGATGATGACATCCGCTTCGGCAAGGAAGCTCGTGAAAGCTGCGTCACCAGCCGGGATTTCGCAACTCATCATCTTGCTCCCATCAGTGTTGTCGGTGAAGCTGCATCCAGTCGGGGCCACGGCCGGCAACTGAACCAACTGGGCACCCGCATCGGTGATGAACTGAGTCTTGTAGGCCGCATTGGTGATGGCGTTAGACCCTCCCCTCGATCCCACGAACATCACCTTCGGCTGCTCCCCCTTCCACTCGGTGCTGGCATCGGTGCGGAGCCGGTCCCCGATGGCTTTAAGCGCATTGTAGTCCGCCTTGATGTGTTCGAAGATCTGCTCCGCCTGCTCTTCCTCGTTGTAGAAGAAGGCCATGAACCTGGGTTCGTGTTAGAAACTTGACTGAACTTACCATAATAGGGATACCACATTATTTTACAAAAGGTCCTTTGAAGGCCATGCACTTGACCCACTCGGCACGGCTAAGGCTGCCGGGGTCGAAGGAGATCTCGAAGGGGACGTCCTTCGTGGCGTCGCCGCCCCAACCACTACCAAAGGTGTCCGTGAACACCACGTCCGTGCGGCTTGCCCTAGTCATCCACTCGGGATTGGCCGACCAGTCCGGAAGGGTTTCTGGGATGTGGGTTTCTGGATAGCAGACCTCCAGTAGCTGCATGCAGGGGGACGAGATGGCGCTTATGTCAACCATGTCGATCGACTGCGATACCCCAAGCAACTCAATGAAGGCCAGCGGGCCACCCCATCCGACGGTTACGTTCTTCACGGGAATCTCGAAGAAGCGGGCGTTCGACGGCACGCCGGGCATGTCCGTCGTAGGCTTCGTGGTGCCGCACTGGTAGAGAACCATGGGCGGGACCCTCGTGCCCCTCAGCGACGCTTCAGGATGCCACTGTCCATCGTACGGACGACCAGCAGCGGTGTACTCCACCACCTTGTACTGGTCGTAGTAGGTCACATCGTACAAATTGGCGAAGCTGATCTTGTCCAATCCCGCTAAGTTGCTTGGAAAGGGCTTCCCCCAGGACGGGCAATCACCTGCTGCTGGCGTCAGCCCGAAGGCCAAAAGCAGAGCTGCCCGGGCAAACATGGCTGGGCTGAGGAAGTTGGGAGCACGGGCCCTTGATGCGAAAAATGTGCTTTCCACTTGCAAGGCTCAGGATAGACTGTGATACTCAGAAACATGGGCAGTTCGAGAAGCCGGAATCCCCAAACCCGCTCTCTTCAACAGTCCAAGCTCGCAACGGCTCCCATTTCATTTTCGGAGTTGCACCCCCGCCCGGCCTTCCTTCTGATCCAGTGGATGACTATGCCAACCAGAACCTCCAAGTGCTGTCTAATACAAACACAAACGTCTGTGGGTGCTTACCTGCATTTCTTGGCAATGAGCCTACAGTTCCGCGAAAGTGCCACGCATGCACATCCAAACGATTGCTAAATACTCGAACCCTCGAAACAAGCCCCAAACAGTTTCGCCAAACGGGAGCAATACCCGAAGAGCCCACATGAAGGGCGATGGGGAGAGACGAGCACAAGAAGACCCGGAATTTGTAGTGGCCACGCACCCGTTGCAAACTGCTCGGGGAATTAGCAACACCCTTGAGGAATCCCTATAGATCCCTTTGTAGGAACCCCTTATAACTACCGATGAACCTCCAAGTTTAGCAACCCGACATTGCAAGAGGCAAAACCGGAATCCCAGAGGCATTGTTTCGATCCGGAACCTCACCAGCGGACCCAGAATACATTGGAGGGCTTGGGGTTTAGGGGTTAGGGCTTAGGGATTAGGCTTTTGGGGTTAGGGTTTAGGGTTTAGGGCTTAGGGGTTAGGGTTAGGGTTTAGGTTAGGGTTGCAGCCCAAGCCCGTCCTCATAAAGAGCTCTTGCTAGT